CTCACGAGGCAAAACAAATACTCCGGAGTGACGATAAAATGCGGCACTGTATGGAGGAGTGCGGCGGGCGTTTCAGGGGTGGCGGCAGGGTCCTGTCATCCGCCACCGGATCCGAGGCTGGATCCATGCCTCAAGGAGAGTTTGAGGACTGTAGGCTTGTCGTAATTACCCTGCGGCAGCTTCCCATTTGGCAAGTTCCAGGCCTAAGTCGTAGTGGGTCCATGACTGCTGGCTACCGCAGTCCGCGGGTCGCGCCGACAATCATGTGCAGTGCGCAGGTGGTTGCAGGGGCCGGGCGCCGAGGGCGCCTCCCATGGCTTGATCCCCAGACTTCAGATGAGGTCGTCCTGGGATCGGCCGGGTCCCTGTACCTACACACCGGTACCCAGGCTACATTGATCGATCAACCTGGCTTAGATCGACTCCGGGCCACGGAACCCCTCCCTCCCGACGTCTCCCGCGGCGTCGCACATCTCCAAACCCTCATTGCTGCCTCAACTCGAGCCCTACTTCATCCTCCCCGTTCCGCTCGCCTGCTCAGCCCTCGACGAAAGACTCGAGATGCCTGCCCCCTGACATACGACATCTCCCGCTCCTGCCTGTGTTGACTCCTGGCCAGCGCAACCACTGTCGCTACACACATGAGTGCGAGCCGCACGCCTCCATCTGAGTCCCCGTCCTCTCCGCCCGGCGGCCTGGAGCCGCCAGCGGCCAAGGACCGGATCGCACCCCAGCAACCACTACAACGGACTCCCGGCTCGACACCTCCGCATGACAGCGCCCAGCCAGAAATCAAGCGCGAGCAGCGTGGCTCCAGTGCCGGCAGAGGCCTGTCGAGCAATGCCCGACCGACGCCGGCAGCCTCAACCCCCGCGCACGTCGCACCCCAGCCGCATACGAAACCGCTCATCATAGCCAGCCATGGCAGCCGCCAGCGCCCCGTCTCGGTGGCAGCTCCGAGACATCGTGCGCAAGCCGCGACCTCGAAACGGCCGCCTGTCACGGCGGCTTCGACTTCATCGCCAGAGGACTCCCTCAAGGACTCGCCAGGAAGCCCTGCGTCAAGCCCTTCCGATGTCGGCAGCGGCTCCGCGACGCGACATCACCACCACCCAGATGTGTGGGAAGCTCACAAGGTGCAGATCCGTGAGATCTACATCAATGAGAATAAGCCCCTCAAGGAGCTAATAGCCATCATGAGGGAGCAAGGATTCAGAGCCACGTAAGTGCTTGCAATCTTCTGGAGCCGGAGAAAACCTCGAATATTGACAGTAAGACAGCCCTCGCATGTTCAAGTCCAAGTTTGCGCAATGGGGCTTCGTCAAGAACAACAAGAAGAAAGACGTGGCAATGATGCTACGCATGCAGCGACAACGGGATGCCGAAGGCAAGCAGACGGCTTTCAACCGCCATGGCCGGGCTGTCGACGTCGACAACTACCTGAAACGGAAGGGCATGACACGACGCGACTTGGAGGAGGCCGACGTCGAGGATGACATGCCAGTCTACCTCAGGGCCCTGACACCACCGCCGACAGATCCACATCAGATCACGCTGCCGAACCTGCTGTACGCCCAGGATGTCCTCGTCACGTGCTTCCGAGATTTGACCTCTCACATGCGCGACTCGGCCATGTCTTCTCAGAACTTCATGGCAGACTTCGAAGGCTACTTCAACGGGCCAGCTTGCGAAGCGACCCGAGATTTTAGTAGGGCATGCTGGTTCTTCTCCCAAGGATATACGAAGCACGGAGCGGCCTTGAGCCAGCGCTCATTCTCGGCAGTCCACTTACTCATTACCCAGCCTTCGGCACTGGGTTTGTTTGATATGCTCATTGCAATTGTGCTCGTTCCAGACATCAACCTTACCCGCGAGCTGTTCAAATACCTCGCGGCATATTCAGAAGCTATTCTAGGAACAGGCACGATCACGCGACTGTTTAGGGCACTCGAAGACGTCTTTGCTACGAACCCACACGAGACAAGCATCGATTTTCTCTTCAGCTGCATCGACAACATCATCGGAATGTTGCTGCGGTTCCCGGCGCTCGCCGACACCGTTGTGCCAACCATCAGCATGTTCTTGATCGCCGACCTTGTTCTGTACAAGATCAGACGGAGATGTCCTAACCTGGAGAAGGCCGTAGCATCTACCGCGCGGCTGCTGAGCATGAACGCCACATTAGAGGCACCCATGATCGTGCGCCTGCTGCCGCCCGCGGGCCGCCTGTGGCTCGCAGGGCCCCAGGATGAACAGTCGTTCCAGTTTTGCTACCACTCGGTGCAGCAGCCGCCCGAGATCCTGGCGAACTTCGGCGGCATCGGCTGGCTGCTGTGGCAGGTCATGGCCGACTACCACAGGTCACACTGCCTCCCTGGCGACGCCGTGACCACGTCCCCGCGCCACGGTCTCGCCATCTACTCCATGGAGAACGCCATTGCCGCCGCTGAGGGCTTGAGAGGGTTCGGCGAGTTCCAGATCTTCATCAACCTTGAGATCCTAGAGGGCTGGTACAGGGAGACCGGGGACGTGGAACGGGCGATGCTGACGAGCAGGAAGCGGGCTCGTGGTCTACAGGAGTACCTGGAGTCAGTGGAGGCCTCGAATCATGAGATACTGGCAAGATCATAGTGCTTGGGATTATGGAGGCATTACATTACCATTGCAGCATGTTGTTGTATTACCATTTACTCGTGTTTTTCCTCATGATAGACCTGTTCTTGGATCTAGGATAGCTTCTCACTCACCCGAGATCTACATGCCGACACCCTCACTCTTGTCCTGCCACCACCGCCGCCAGTCCACGACCGTCCGCCCCGTCCTCGCCTCCTCCGCCGCGAACACCATGGCGTGACTCCTCACCACCTCCTCGAGCGTGCACCCGATGTACTCCCGCTGCGCCTGCGGCGCGCTCCAGCCGTGATTCTTGACCTTGTCCACGGCCATGATGAACTGCCGCGCCAGCCCCACGTCCCCGCCGCCGTGGCCCAGGGTCTCCATCCGGGGCGTGTACGTGCGTGTCTGGCCGGTGCGGAAGTCCTCGACCGTGATGGTCCACGAGTCGGCGTAGATCTCGCCCTCGGTGCCGTACACGTGCGTGTATCGCTGGCACTGCCGCTTCGTCTGCGCGATCATGTGGAACGTCGCCTGCTTGGCGCCCCGGTGCGGGCTTGCTACCGCCGCCGCCGCCGCCACGTCCCCCTGTGTCCCGTCGACCGGCTCCAGCTCCTCGTCCCAGGTCATGGTGACGGTCTGCTCGTCGCACACGTCGTTGTCCGACTCGAAGACGCACCGGCCGAACCAGTTCCTGCTGCGCACCTCCTCGTCCGGGGTCGTCAAGGCGTCGTAGTCCTCAGCTAGGCGCGCGAGCAGTGCCTTCTTCCGCGGGCTGTCTTCCTTGTCGCCTGTCTCGCCGCCGCTCCCACTGCCACCGTCGAAGCTCTCAATGTCCGGCATCACGATACTCAGCGGCCATCCGACATTCCCCGTCTCCAGCCCAGCGTGCTTTCCGCTCACGTAAATCCGCTTGGCCGAGTACATGCAGTCCGGCTCGACGGGGCAGCTCAGGCAGTTGGTCGTGTCCCTGCCAGCACCCCTGGGCTTGCGACTCTTCTTGAAGAACTGCAGTGCGCCGCTGGACGATACCGTCGCGGGCAGGTGCGGCGGCGTGTCGGCCGGGGAGTCGGGCGGCGGCGAGCACAGGAGCCACAGGATCAGGTCGATGTCGTGGCAGCTCTTTGTCAGCAGCGACGGGGCCGTGACCGACTCCCGGCGCCAGTTGCCCCGGACGTAGCTGTGCGCAAAGTGCCACCACCCGACGGGCTCGGTGTGGTGGATGCTGAGGATCTCGCCGATCGCGCCCCTTGTCCTTCGTCCCTCCGCCGCTTCTTCTTCTCCATCCAGTCGGCTGCCGATTTGTGACGACGGAAGTTCCGCGCAGTTCTTCCCGTCCCCGAAGAGCAGAGACCGGAGCATCATGTTGTGCGGGGAGTACCGCAGCACGTGGCACACGGAGAAGATCTTGCTGTCCTGGTGCGGCGCCAGCGCGCGGTACATGGCCATGCAGTCGCCCAGCGTCGTGGCCAGGGGCTTCTCGCACATGATGTGCAGGCCGAGGGGCGCGAGGGCCATGACGACGTCGTGGTGCAGCTCGTCGCGGACGCAGACGAACACAGCGTCGACGCCCGCGGGGATCGGCTTGTTGCTCTCGTCATCGTCATCGGTGCCTTTGCTGCTGTTGCTGCCTTGCTGTGCTTGTCGTCGTTCTGTCCGTTCTATTACTCTCTGCCGCCGATCTTCCTCATAGACGATGAAGTCCGTCCAGTCGCGGAACTGCGATCCCTCCGGGGGCTCCTGCCCGGCCCTGTCCTCACCCCAGATGAACGCCTCGCCGAACCGGCGGCGCTTGTAGTCGTCTGGCTCCACCACGCCCGCGACGACGCCGTTGCTCGATGTGACGGTGCACCGGGCGTATGTCCTGCCCCTGGACCCGGCTCCGATCACGAGCACGCGCGGCGGGGACGCCGACATGGGCGGCGGCGAGGGCGGCTTGACGATGTTGCCCGCCCGGGCGGCTGCCTGGTCGTTGGTGTCGCTGCTCCGCCGCGCCCTGGCCGAGGTACGGAGCGCGGCGACAGGCGGGAGGTTCTCGTAGTCCACGGGGGCATCCGCTGGGATGGCCGAGGTGATAGTGGTGGTTGCTGGAGCCATGGCGGCGGATGTTTGCCTTTTTGGGCACTATGACATTCAGGATCAGGCACGGGGAAGATGGCAGTGTCTACGAGCTTATCAAAGGGGCTGCTCGGGTTGCGTGGACGTTGTAAGTCCCGCCCACGTGCTGGTGATCGTCGTGTAAATGGGCGCTCCGCCTATCACAGACGGCGCGATGCTGACCACGAGGCCGCCCCTCCTCCGTGGGGGTTGAGCATGGTGCGATAATGGGTTACGCTGGATATGACCTGTGATAAACCTCGGCCTTATCATCAATCATATCCGAGATTGGGCTAATAGCTCATTTGGTAGAGCGTTCGCTTTGCATTGTATCCTCTGGATCGCCAGCCTGCGAAAGGTACAGGGTTCGATTCCCTGTTAGTCCACTTCTTTTGCCATTTTGCCTTTCCGACTCTGTCTTTAAAGTCTCCCAGGCCATGTGCTCATTTACGGTTTGATGTGCGTTTCTTTTTTTCCCCAATCTCGGGCTCATTCTATCCGCTGTGCTGCCTGACAGGCTGCGACGATGTCTGTGATGCTCACGCTAGACGGGCATGAGCGTATCCCCGAAAGACGCCCGGCAGCATCACCCGGTGGATGTTGCGTGTCCATGAGGGACTTTCCTGCCTCATGGCATCTTGTTTTGCGGTCGAGCCCAGACCGAGCTGGACCTCTGTAATGATTGCTCGAGCTGAAGTCATCCTAACCGGTCGACTGGACCTCTGTACAAGGCCAGTCACGACCCCGGCCGCGCCCCTGCAACGTTCACTGCCCTGTCCCAAAGCGGCGAGCTGTTCCCCACATGAGACAAGGGTCCCGGGCAGCGCCAGACGACATCGCCATCTCGTCATCCTGATCCAGACGGGCACTCGGGGCTTGATCCAAGACACGCCCGGACGATCGGGAGGGCTTGCCCTGACCACAATGTGCCGATCAGCTGTCTCGGGCGGCCAAGACACACGCTCGGCACTCAACCACCACCTTGGGGCAGACACGACAAACCCGCGACCCTTGGTCTCGACATCATGCCTGTCTGTGTCGACAACGGCGTCCCTGTGGACCGGGCGTCCGGGGCCGCCCCGATGGCTGCCCTAGCTGAGTCCGGATACAGCAGTCCAGGCTATGGAACTCTGCTGCAGCAACTAGGCCGTGGCCTGCCTTTGATGCTGCAGCCCCTCGTGGCAACATGCGCTATGCAAGGGAGCAGAGTTTCCCGTCAGCCCCGTCACCGCGACCCGACTCGGCGGTCGCCCTGCTAGTCCTGCAGGTACGCCTCGCCTGCGCATCCAGCATCGACAGCATCCACGGCGAATCAGGGGCCAAATGGCATGGCAGGGTCGCCATCCTGCCGCTGTCCAATATCCCCGTCGCCAGACTCGCAAGCCCTTCCACTGTGATCGCCCCTGCCTTGCTCACGATAGCTGCCAGTCCGTCAGCTCTCCCTTGCCTGCACCCCGGCAACGTTGCCTCACTTCCACGGCTGGGGCTGATTCCAGGACTGTCAAGTCATCCAGCATCGGCATCACACAGGTCACGTCACGGTAGGATCCGGCTGCTCTTCCGCGGTCCAAGTCCACCTGCGGGCAGACGCTACCGCGCGGCTTGGGAGTCCTTCCGCGCCTCGAACACCGTGATGCTTCACACTAGGCCGTGTTCGTCACTCACGTCGACATGTGTATAAGACGAGCCTGACAACCTCGCCCTTTGTGGCAGTTCTTCATGTCCAGCAGATCACACGCAGTCCTCCCTTCTTCAACCACTCTCCCTCAACATCCGAGCCTGGCTCTCGTCGATACTTGTTTACGTGCTTCCAGCAGCTATCCGGTCTAGAACCAGATACACCACAGTCCCTACCACACTCTTCTTCCACCAGACATCAGCAAGTGCCAGACACATCCTCAACTCCTTCCAAGATGAAGTGGTCTGTCGCAACCCTCGCCGCGGTGCTCCTGGCCGCCAGCCCGGCCGCCATCGCCGCGCCCACTCCCGCCCCTGTCGACGAGGCCGGCGTCGCTGTCAACGACCTCGCCGCCCGGCAGTCGAACCTCGGCGCGGGCAAGCGCATCGTGCTCTGGGAGTGGACCAACACGCGCGACATCAACAGCGCGCCCAACCTCAAGACCTCGGCCGCCAAGCTCTCCTCGTCCAAGGAGTTCAAGGCCGTCATGAACTGGGAGACCTGGCGCCCCACGGAGCTGCCCAGCAACCTGTACTTCCAGCCCATGGTCCGCACCCCGGCCCAGGCCTCCGGCGACGCCTGGAACCAGATGGTCGCCAACATTGGCGCGCAGCCCAACACCAGCAAGAAGCCCATCGTGCACTTCTACAACGAGCCCGAGCGCCAGTCCGGGCTTTCCGCCAAGCAGGCCGCCGACACGTGGAAGTCCAAGATGCTGCCCCTCCGCAAGTCCAAGGGCGTCGAGCTCGTAGGGCCCGCGGTCGCCAGCGACTCCGCGGGCGCGGCCTGGCTCAAGGCCTTTATGGGCTACCTCGGCGCGGACGAGAAGCCCGACTACGTGGGGTGCCACTTCTACACGAACCAGAACTCGGCCGTCAACACGGAGATCGAGGCCGCCAAGAACCACCTCGCCTCCGTCATCTTCGCGTACGGCCTGCCCATTGTCGTGTCCGAGATTGCGAGCACGAGCCGCAACTCCAACGACGTGGTGAAGTTCACTAAGACCATGGCCGAGTGGATGGACCAGCAGGACTACGTCAAGATGTACGGCTTCTTCGGCGTCAGCCGCCAGCCCACCGACAGCTTCGTCAGCCCCGCGGCCCAGCTGCTCGACTCGAGCGGCAGCTGGACCTCGCTGGGCAAGTACCTCGGCGGCTGGTAAATCTAGCTCTTCTCGAGCTTGCTTGCTGCGAGAGGTGATGCCACGGGGCAGGAGCCCAAGTCTTGCTCTCTGCTCTTCTCCTACCACATCCTTCGTTCTCAATTCTTGGACATATTTCGACCATCTCCAACGGCCTTTTCTAAGCGCCATTCACGGGCAGGGAGGGATGCGCAGATGCTGAGCCAGCGAATAGCAGCAAGGTCTGCTCTTCCTCTCGCACTCAGCTCCCTTCTTCGCCCGCCTGGCAGCCTTCTTGGACATCCCTTGCCGGTTTCCTTTTGAGTACATACTTTTGTCTTCTTCCTTATTTCTTCTTGCCTTGTAGATATTCGATTTTTATAGAGAGCGAATATATGGAAATGTTATCTGACTCGGTTTCCACTTGTCACGCCCCCCGTCTGCCTTGGTCTTGATCATCGCTGGCAAACATACGCATCGTGAAAACCACAACCTGCGAAACCTGTATCTGTCGGTCGGTCTCCCTTAACATGATTCGAGCTCTCTCGTGTAAGTGTTGGAATGTGAATATGAATCTCACGCGATGCAGGGAACACGTAACTTGGTCAATCATTTACATATGCAGTGATTCTTTTGATTCTTCACTCCTCCCTCGAAAGCCCCGGGCGTTCGTTCTATAGAGATTGAAAAGAAACTTCCGCGAGTGGTATAGACGGACTCGTCACTGTAACATACAACCTCCCCAACTGTAACCACGAAGCCGGGGGATACCATTTGAACGCCGAGCAATGCAGAGACCCCAAGGGTGACATGTGAAGAGCAACCCCGAGTGAATGTAAAAAAGAAAAAAAAAATACTGCCAAGTGAGCCACGCCTCCAGACGTACTGCCTGAAGGACGAGGCATGTGAGACGCTGAGCATGTGTGGCGGAAGAATGCTGACACAGCGCGCTGTATGTGGATGATGCGAAAAGACAAGAGAAAACAGTAGAGATTGTCATAGCGACGCTGTCAAAGTGTTGCTGATCACTTTGAGGCATCCACTGGCGATGCTGACAGGGAAAGAGACTATGAGTCTGGCTCGTTCGTAATCAGTCCGACGGCGGCCTGTCTGAGAATGCGCGCTGTCTTCCGGATGATGCTCTCCGTGAGCTGCCAGTCCTCAGCATCAATGGCGTCGCGGATGTTCGGAAAGTAAGCCTCATCGTATCCGGACCATAATTGAGGCCCAAATACAACGTGCTTAAACTGCGTGCGGTTTACAATCTATAGAAACAGCATTCGTCAGCGGGTGCACAAGGGAACCGAGAATCTGGTCACACATCAGTCCGAAGGAAGGAGAACTTACACCACCACCAGAGTCCAGATCCAGGAGCGCAGTCTCGAACGCAGCCATGCGGCTGTTGTGGGCGATCCTCTGGCGCGTCACGCCGTTTGGCTCCCACCCGTTTGAGTGGATGATTGTCCTCTCCCACTCGTCCTCCCACTTCTCGAATTCGCCGACGGCAGTCCTAATCTCCTCCACAGCGTCCCTGACTGGACTCAAATTGACTTTGTCTTGGAGCTTGAGATCCTCAACCCATTTGTTTAGGTCTCCAACGTACTTGTTGAGAGCCAGCGCGTAGTTGCTCATGTCGAAGGGCAGAACGGGTCGATCGCACAGTTCTAGGATAACCAGTGCCAACACGCGACCGAGGAGATTGTGATACACAAAGCCAGGATCACCGACTCTCGTCATCCAGTCAAAGTTATCGTAGGATGAGTGGTAGGGATGCTTGGGGCCGTCGAAATGCAGGTCGATCGAACTCGTGCCGGCGATGTCCTGGAAGGCGACGTAGTCGCTGCCAGCCCCTAAGCCCTCAAGCTCGCCGTTGCGCTTGTCCCACAGAGCGCGCAAAGATGCATTGTGGTTGGGATCCTGCACGCGATCGAGCACGCGCGACAGTAGCTTGCGGTAGACTGGAGAGGCGGCAGCGTGGAACTCATTGCCGGATACTGCGGTATCGAGGTTAACGTACGCAAAGGCGTTCTTCCGGAGCTCGTCGATGTTGCCTTCAACATATTCGGTGCTGCCGATCAGATTGTACTCCTCGGCATCCCAGCTCATGAACTCGATCGATCGCAGAGGCCGCCAGCCGCGTGCCACAAGGTCGCCAAACACGCGCACTACCTCGAGCATGACTGCTGTACCTGAGTTCGGATCGCTCGCGCCAAACGCCCAGGCATCTCGGTGATTGCCAATGATGATGGACTTCTCCATCTGCTCGATGCCAACAATCTTGCCGTAGATGTTCCAGATTGTCTTCTGCTCGACCTCGTCTTGCTCGTTCTTGAGGCGTACAATAGGCGACGAAGAGTTGCCAGTCCACCATTCCACATCAGGCACGCCACCGCGCCACGCTTCTGTGACTGGCTGTCCCATGCCCTGAATATGCTGCAATAAGATCTGTGCATCACGCCACGCTAACGGCAAGCTAGGAATGCGCACGAGACCAGCGGTCTGTTCCAGCTTCATGCGAGGCAGGCCAGGCTTGCTTTCCCAACCAGGGGTAAGAACATCACCGACAACCCAACTCATCAAGCTAACTG